CTACCTTTTCGGAAGGGCATCGCGGAGGCGCGCTCCCCGCAGGACGGGCCTGGGACACTGAGGCCGGGCGACGTCCAAGTGCCAGCCCCTCGACTCGGGGGCGCAGGACAAGGGAGGGGGGAAGAGACATATTTGGGCAAAGCCCGGGCGCGTCACACACGGAGCTGCGACCTGCTCGAGAGGAGGCCACTGAACCGAAAGCAAGCTCCTCCGATCTGGAAGACAACCAGGTCCTTCGGGCTCTTCGGGGACATCATCCCTGGAAGGATTTGGGGAGCTTTATCCCGTTTTTATCCTTCGGTCCTCGGGAGCATAGGACAGGTACAGAGGACTGTCCAAATGGCTGCTGGGCTCGAGGTGAAATTACATCAAGGCTGGAGGGAGTCACCCCCGAAGTACATCTGTGATAGTCACCCTGGACACTCGTTCAAAATCCTTCCTTCTCCCTCTTCTGCCCGGCTTTATTTTTCTCCCCAGCACTCATCACCTCTGACAATCTATATTTCTCTTCTGTTCATTGCTCTTTCTCTGGGACGTTGAGCAGTACCTCACACACAGGTCAATAAATACAATAATAATAATAATAATAATAACAATAATAATGTTTTTTAAGGAACTCTAACCTAGAGAAATAGGAGACAATCATCCCTCTCATTCTTACTTATTCTGCCTCTGTGAAGGCCAATACCTGAGAAAATGCATTATTATTTGGTGGGCTCAAATATCTCAAAGGCAGGCCACCTTTCCAGTCAGGTAAGTGTTACTTCCTTTGAAAAGTGCTGTTTATATTGCAATTTGAAGAAATAACGTTAGGAGCAATCTTCTGATCTAATATTTAAAGCACTCATGTCCATCTTTCAATGTAGTGGGGGGAAAACATCCAGGTGAGCTGAAAAGTCAGAACCAATGGTTGTTGTTTTTTTTAATCATTTCTTTTTAAAAATATATTTTTTAATTGATTTCAGAGAGAACGTGAGGAGAGATAGAAACTTCAATGATGAGAGAGAATCATTGATCAGCTGCCTCCTGCGTACCCCCTACTGGGGATCAAGTCCACAACCCTGGCATGTGCCCTTGACCAGAATCGAACCTGGGACACTTCAGTCTGCAGGTTGATGCTCTATCCTAGGGGTGGGCAAACTTTTTGACTCGAGGGCCACAGTGGGTTCTTAAACTGGACCGGAGGGCCGGAACAAAAGCATGGATGGAGTGTTTGTGTGAACTAATATAAATTCAAAGTAAACATCATTACATAAAAGGGTACGGTCTTTTTTTTTTTTTAGTTTTATTCATTTCAAACGGGCCGTAGTTTGCCCACGGCTGGTACCCACTGACCCAAACCGGCCAGGGCCCTTTCTTTCTTCTAGTTGGTACTTTCACTGCTCTGTGGACTCACCTGGCCGATTGTGATATAGTAAAAAATATATATGTGATCTTTGTCATCAGTTCCTGGCACATAACTCCAAAAACTCTTGGAATCTCTGGAGTGATGAGAGGTTTCATACATATAATTGATTTCAGAGAGAGAAAGGGAGAGGGAGAGAGAGAAACATCAATGATGAGAGAGAATCATTTATTGGCTGCCCCTGCATGCCCCCCACTGGGATCAAGCCCACAACCTGGGCATGTGCCCTGACCTGGGAATGGAACCATGACCTTCTGGTTCATAGCTAGATGCTCTCCCACTGAGCCACAACAGCCAGGCGGTGATGAGAGTTTTTGTATGCTAATGAGATGACTGGTGGGGGGAGGCTAGATAGCTTCAGGATGGGGGTGGTGGAAGACCAAGTAAGATTAGAGCAGCGGTTCTCAACCTGTGGGTCGCAACCCCTTTGGGGGTCGAACGACCCTTTCACCGGGGTCGCCTAAGACCATCGGAAAACACATATATAATTACATATTGTTTGTGTGATTAATCACTATGCTTTAATTATGTTCAATTTGTAACAATGAAATTGGGGGTCACCACAACATAAGGAACTGTATTAAAGGGTGGTGGCGTTAGGAAGGTTGAGAACCACTGGATTAGAGGGTTGGAACTTTCAGCCTCCCCCCATCTCCAGGCAGGGGAGGGGGACCAGAGATGGTCTATGATTTAGTCAATCATGCCTGTGTAATACCTCAATGAAAAACCCTAAATGATGGAGCTGGGAAAGCTCAGGGTGTTGCGCTCAGAGAGGGCATGGAAGCCCTATGCACCTCTACCCTCTTACCTCGCCCTATGCATCTCTTCCATTTGGCTATTCCTGAGTCGTATCCTCTATAATAAGCTGATAATAGCAAGTAAAGCACTTTTCTAAGTTCTGTGAGCCTCTCTAGCAAATTACTGAACCCGAAAGGAGGGAGTTGTGAGAACCCCCGACTTTGTCGCCAAGTTGGACAGAAGAGTGGGTAGCCTGGACACACAATACTTGTAACTGGCATCTGAAGTTAGGGCAGTCTTTTAGAACTGAACCCTTGACCTGTATGTAGGGTCTGAGGTTACCTCTGGGCAGTTAGGACCAGAATGGAATTGAATTGTTAGATACCCAGTTGGTGTCAGAGAGCTAGAGAACTGGTTGTTGGTGTAGAAAAACCCCACACATTTGGTATCAGAAGTCTTGTAAGTGAAAACATTTCAGACTCCTGTAGTCTGATAGCTCCACATCCTGGGTAGGGAAAAGAACATAGGGCTCATCACTGTCTTGTTTCCGGTCCATGTTTAGTGAGCAGCCCTCTCAGACTGTTGTTTAATAACCTGGGGAATATTTATTATTTTACCACTAATCAAATAGCTGACAAGGATTGATGTCAACATTTAATAACTCTGAGTGTTTCTGCTTGTTCCCTGCAGAAGGGAGGAAACAATGAGGCAAATTCACATAGAGATAAGAGAGTGGCAGGGAAATTAGATTTGTTGAAGTGACAGCCAGTACCTGTTGGGGACATGGGCCGGAGTAGTGGGACATGGCCTTCAGGGTTTTGATGTGGAGAAAAGATATGAAGCAATTTTAAATTGAGCGTATACTCCCAGGTTCTGTCAACAATATAGTATGAGGCATAGAACCAAGTAATTTTATCATTCTTCACCAAAATTTCAATTGTGTCTGCCAACATTCGTGTTGTCAGTCTAATGGACTATTGATTTAACACTGCTCCTGTCCTGGGGAGCTCTTACCATATCAAAGTGCTGTTGAAGTCTAGCCTAATTGCTAGAACCCCTCCTGAGGGCTGCCTAGCCAGGCTAGTCTTCCTCCCACTTCCTCCAGGTCCCTGTTTATCCTCATTTTAGAATGGTCACCATCAATAACATAATCAGGTCATCTGAGGTCCCGCGAACAGAGGTGCTCAAACTTGTGGGCAGGTGAGCAAGCTGGAGGGCTGTTTAAACAGATCACTGGGCTGCAGCCCCATTTTCTGATTCAGTAAATCTGGTGTGGGGCCCCAAGATTTGCATTTCTCACAAAGTTCCAGGTGCTACAGAGGTTGCTAGTTCTCTTAGTTGCAGAGGGCACTTGGAGAACCAAAGAGGAAGGGGAACTCAGCTGTGAGGTAAGGGCAATGGAGGAACAAGAGCAGACCCGGAGCTCCTTTGATCCAGGGCAGGAGCACCCTTCTTCCTGGGCATGGGTGCTGGCTGAGTGCTTCCTGCCCTGGCTCTTGGGGCAGGAAGTGCCCAGGGCCACAGCCTCTGGTTTTCTTGCTGCAGGCAGAAAAGGGCCCTCTTCCCAGATTTATTTTCCAGTTCATCGGCCGAAGCTTTCATGCGCTCTCCAAAGGAAGGGTAACCCTCAAATAGGAAGATATCTGATACTCTTTACCCTCAGAAACTGGTCCTCACCACAGCCTTTCCTTAGCCAGGTATTGGCTATTTTTTACATTTCCCAGCCTTTCCTTTCTAATTACAGAAGGTAAGGTGTTGTCTGGGATTCCAGGCCAAAGAAGGGGGCTGAGAGCCTTTTCATGGGGGTCAGGAACGGGTAGGAAAGTGTGTGTGAAGGAGGAAGAGAAGAGGAGGGGCGGGGAGGGGGTAGCAGGGCCCATCAAGGACTTAACAGCTCCACCCCCACCTCTGCTAGACTCGCTGGTGTGGAGAGTCCACCTGCTGTCTCCACTGCCCTGGCCATTGCCCAACTCTATGCCCCTCCACATGGTATGGTTCCAGTGGTTTCCAGTTCCTGCTGCCTTAACCTTCCCAGCTCCTAGGGGTTTGCCCAAAGGCAGACCTACAGCCAACCTTAGGGTAGGATGCAGGCAAAGGGCAGGGTTGGGGAGAACTGGCTGAGGATCTCTGCTTACTGTGCTGTGTGACATACCCTCTGGAGCCTCGATATTTTGACTATAAAATAGGGACAGCGAATCCCAGCAGGCCCTAGAGCACCATACTCTGTGTCAAGGTAACCTCTGTGGTCGCTGTGGGGAGCCGGGCGCGGCTGGACACGCATGGCCATGTGGCGTCAGCTTGCCCGGGCCAGTGCGCCTCTCCTACGAGTGCCTTTATCAGGTTCTTGGGCAGTCCCACCCACCAGTGCTGGCCTAAAGACACTGCTCCCGGTGCCAACTTTCGAGGATGTTTCCATTCCTGAAAGTCCCAAGCTTAGATTTTTTTTTTTTTCAGGCTTAGTGGCAATATATTTCTCAGAGGGTGCAGGCTGCAAAGCTGAATGCCTGGTTAGAGCTTTAGCGACCATTCCAGGTCGCATTTAGGAAGGAGCCAGCTATTTCACTAAGAGCACAGCCACGCATTAGGCTGGAGCTGCTATATAGGAAGGACTGGATGAAGGCAAGCGGAACCTGGGACAAGGGAGTGGGGGAGGGGCACAGGAGTAAACAGCGAGTTTGGCAACCACAGCGCCTATGCAACCTGGCCAAGCTTAGATTTGTTGAAAGAATACCACTTGTGCCAAAAGTGTGAAAAGAACCTAAGAACTTGCGTGACATACAGGGACCTTCAACTGAAGATACTGAGTTCACAGAAGGCAATTTTGCAATCTTGGCACTGGGTGGTGGTTACCTCTACTGGGGCCATTTTGAAATGATGCGCCTGACAATCAACCGCTCTATGGACCCCAAGAACATGTTTGCCTTATGGCGAGTACTAGCCCCTTTCAAGCCCATCCCCCGCAAGGGTATGGGACAGCATATGGGGGGCGGCAAAGGCGCCATTGATCACTATGTGACTCCTCTGAAGACTGGCCACCAGCTTCATTAAAGAGATAGGCAGCTGTGAATTCAGAGATACAAGGTTTCCTCCACCAGGTTGCCCACAAGTTGCCCTTCCCAGCAAAGGCTATGAGCCGTGAAACCGTAGAGAAGATGCGGAAAGATCAAGAGGAACAAGAGGGTAACAACCAAAACCCTGGGACCTTTGAGTGCATAGCCACTGCCAACATGCTAGGGATACGGAAAGTACTGAGCCCCTATGACCTGACCCAGAAGGGACAATAATGGGGCAAATTCTACCTGCCTGAACATGTGTAGTGAGAATATGAGAAATAAATGTACAAAGAGAAGGAATCTACATTTTTGTTCTCCTCAGTTACCCTGAAAGTCTGGGTAGCTCTGATGTCATAACCAAGGAGCCGCATATGAGTGCTGTAGATGAAAGTGCATTATATTTATATTAAATAAAATTTCAGTATCACCTCTGGCTAAAAAAAAAAAAAAATAGGAACAATGCATTCTTCATGGATTACTCTAAGGATCTGATGAAATCCTGTTTGCCTGGAGCACAAGTGCTCAATAAAAGGTAGCTGCTGTTATTAGTAGTATTAATATTATTAGAGCTGGAAGCAGGGAGAGGGTCCCTGGGTGGTGAATGGGAAGGGTCCCAGAAGAGGAGTGATGGGAGCACCTGGGAGGGCACAGGATGGGAGCACGTGGGCTGGACCAAGAAAATGTAGAGGCTGAGGTTCAGTGGGGTCTAGTGAAGCAAGAGAAATCCAGCTCCTTGACTGTCTTTTACCAAAATGTGAGTGTGTATGTGTGTGTGTGTGTGTGTGACTATGAAAGGATTAATGATCCACAGTATCAAAGAAAACTACAAACACTTAGAATAGTTGGACACAGTAACTCATAGATCTTGGTTTCTAAATATCATTCTTTTATTAGAGGAAACAGGAGATCTTTCAGGGTTGGAGATGACCGCAGGGCATCTGTGGCACCCGAAAATAATCATTTTGCTGAGGTCCCAACCAATGACGGAGGCATGTCCAAAAGACACGGGCCAACCTGAAAGGGCTCCTCTGGGAAAATCGTGAAAGAAATGGATTGTGACCCATAGACTAAAGTAAAAGCCCAGTATGTCCATACTGACATAAACAAATTGTTGGTAGAGGAAGGAAAGCTCTTCTCTACAAATTCTAGAATTTATAGAATTATTAGAATTCTACCTAATAAATGTAAAAGAAAAGTCACCATTTGGCAAATGCCATAGTAATAATTATTTTATAGGAGAATCATCAGTGTATGCTAAACTTAGTAAAATATGATGAGAAACAGGATATTAACAGCCTCATAGAATCTCTCTCAAGGTAATTATTAATCACAAAGGGGAAAATGGTAAAGAATCCTGGCAGCCACCTTAACCAAGTGATCAAAGTTAATGGACCAGGAATGGACCAAGTCAGCATCATGTGCCTCTTCATATAAGGCACTGAGACGGACACACTATATCTGTAATATTCTTGCCAAAAAATGTATAACCTGACTTTAGTCATGTGAAAACATGAGACACCTAAAATAAGGGACATTCTACAAAATAACTTAGCAAGTACTTCTTCAAAAATGTCAAAATCATGAAAGACAAAGAAAGACTGAGAGAGTGTTCCAGACTAAAAAAGACTAAAGAGGCATAATGACTAAATGGAATATGTGATTCTGGGTTGCACCCTGAACCACAAAAGGGAGATTTATAGGACAGCTGGTGAAATTTGTATAGTATTGTACCAATATTAATTTCCAAATTTTGATTACTGCACTGTGGTTATATAACATTTGAGGAGTTGGGGTGAAGGGTATATGAAAATTCTTTGTACTCTTTACAACATTTTTGTAAGTATGTAATTAATTCAAAATGAAAAGTTTAAAAAAATTAGCCCTAGCTGGTTTGGCTCGGTGGATAGAGTATCGGCCCCTATGAACTGGAGGGTCCCAGTTTCGATTCCGGTCAAGGGCATGTACCTTGGTTGCGGGCACATCCCCAGTAGGGGGCGTGCAGGAGGCAGCTGATCGATGTTTCTCTCTCATTGATGTTTCTAACTCTCTATATCTCTCTCCCTTCCTCTCTGTAAAAAAAATCAATAAAAATATATTTTTTTAAAAAGTTTTAAAAAATTATAATTGTAGTTTTCTGACCAAATGAGAAAACTCCCAAATTGATTTGGCTGTGTAATCAGCTACTAATTACTGTTACTGATGGAAACTGCCTAATTTCCAGGCCACATAATGAGGAGCATTAACATAAATTTAGTGGCTTAAAATACCACCCGTTTATTAGTTTGCAATTCTGTAAGTCAGAAGTCACACAGCAAGACTGAATTCTCTGCTCAGGGTTTCATGGGGCTGAAATCAAGGTGTTGGCTGGCTGAGTTACCATCAGGAGACTCTAGAGAAAAACCTGCTTCTGAGCTCATTCTTATTGGCAGAATTCAGTTCCTGTGGTTGTAGGAATAAGGATCCATTTCCTTGCTGGCTGGCTGTCAGCAGGGGCTACTATCAGCATCCAGAGGCTGCCTGCATCCCTTGCCATATGGCTCCTCCATCTTTAAGTCAGCCAGGCTGAGTCCTTCTCATGCTTTGAACTCTGATTTCTTTCCAAACCAACCAGAGAGAACTCTCTGCCTTAAAGGACCCAGGTCACTAATTAGGAATCTTAATTACATCTGCAAATCCAGCAGTACTTAGATTAGTGTTTGACTAAATACTAGTAACTGGAAAAGTTGTATGTGCAACAGGCTCGGGAATCTTGGGGGCCAAATGAGAATCCTGCCTACCACAGAGAGTAATTTCTTAAACCAAATTCATGGATATGAATTGGCAAGCAGCTATGAGTGGGGGAATGGGAAATGGACTGCAATGAGGACATGGGCTTCCCAATGCCCCCTGAGTCAGTCTGACCTGACTCAGCTAAAGGTTAATTCTCAGAGAGGGCTTCTTTTCCCTCCTAATAATCCTCTTATTTATTTATTATTTTTATTTTTTTGTTAATCCTCGTCTAAGGATATTTTTCCATTGATTTTTAGAGAGAGTGGAAGGGAGGGTGAGAGACAGAGAAACATCAATGTGAGAGCGACACATTGATTGGCTGCCTCCCACACATGCCCCTACTGGGGCTGGGGATCGAGCCTGCAACTGAGGTACTGTGCCCTTGACTGGAATCAAACCCTTGACTCCTTAGTCCATGGGCTGACGCTCAATCCACTGAGCCAAACCGGCTAGGGCAATCCTCCTATTTAAACTCTACTTCTGTGTGCAGCCCTGACTGTATTGGAATGTAATTATCCTCCCTTTCTGCTGAATTTTCAGAAATCAGGATTTAGTTTCCAGGAGGCAATTCCTTTTTTATATTTAATTTTTATTCATTGATTTTTAGGGAGAGGGAGGGAGGGAGAGAGAGAGAGAGAGAGAGAGAGAGAGAGAGAGAGAGAGCTATTTGTTCCACATGCATTCATTGGTTGATTCTCGTATGTGCCCTGACTGGAGATTGAACCCACAACCTTGGCCTATTAGGACGATGCTCTAACTAACTGAACTACTCAGTCAGGGCTATGGGAGGCAATTATTTTCAAATCCTTGATTAATGTCCTTGATGCAAAGTCCATGTTCAACTGTCCTTGCAACTTTGCACACACCAAGCAGTTATAGCTGGGGCACTTGGGAACATGTGCCCTGAGCCAGACCAGCTCCCTACTAGTCGGGGACAGTTATTCCTTTCTTCAGAAGGAAAGAGGAGCTGAGATGAGGTTACAAAGTCAGTGGTAGGCCTTTACAAGCTGTTCTCAGGGTCTAACCCAGGCCTCTGACACCCCTCGAGCCCAATGATGGGGCTGGATTGCAAACAGAGCCATTGGAAATATCAGAGCTCTAAAGGACTCAAAATGTAACTGGCCTGCTCTTCTGAAGCCCATTCCCATCAATATATAATCAGGCTTTTTTTTTTTAATGTTACAAAAAGCTTTCTCTTTTTTTCATAACACTCTGACAAATTTTTGACTCAAGCAGAGGCAAACATTCACCCCATTTCACTGATGAAGGAGCTGGCCTCAGCTAGAGGAAGTGGTTTGCCCTGGCTGCTCGGCCAAAGGCAGATCAGAGACCTAAATGCAGGCCTCCTGACCAATGCCACTGTTCTCACTGTGCCGCACTGCCCTTCTCCAGGGAGCTGTGTTCTCTCCTCCTGTCCTTGTCCTCCGGGTGGGACGTCACAGTCCTCAGAGGGTTGGCTCAGCTGGGACTGAGGGCCATTCAATCCCAATGTATTTAGTCTTTTTTAAAAAGTTGTTTTTAGAGAGAAAGAGGAAAGGGGATAGAGGGGGTGGGGGGAGAGAGAAACATCCACTTGTTCTTGTTCTTAATGACCTATTTACGGTTAAGGAGCCAGGCTGCCTCTTTCCCAGAATTCAGACTAAACTTCTCAGGCCAAGTGGTAGCTTTCCACCCCCATTATGGTCCTAGAATTGATGCTGAAGAGGAAAACAAGGAGTCACAGAGATTTCAAATTAGTCACATAATCACTTCTGGAGATAAAGGGTGATTCTTCATTGTGGGGTTTCACTTTACCTGTAATAAGGACACTTTAGAGGCCAACTAAACAGTGGGCAAGCCAGGCCAGTGGGGAGAGGTGGGGCCATGTGACCAAGTGCAGCGCTGGCTCTTGTTTTGCCTCCTGGTGCCTCCACTCTGGCCACTGATTCCTTCCTCTGCCTCTGTTTCCCCAGCTGTAAAATGTAGAGAATATTAGTTGTTGACAGAATGTAAGGAGCAAATCACTGCTTAAAAAATAAATACTGAATTTCTAACATTAGGCAAACATGCTGTATATTTTTACTGTAATATATATATATATACATATATATATACAAAAAAGCTGCTTAGAATTATTTTTATTTTCAATTAATATTTTATTCAAATTTAAAATGTTAGGTTTTCCTTAACCTTTTAGATTGAACTTAAACTGCTTTAGTCTACTTATAACTTTATTTGATAAAAACAGTAACATATAACACTGTTAAGAAACCTTGAAAAGTGGTCCCATTCAGAAATTTAGTTATTTAAAATGCCTTAACAATTTTAAACCACATTTATGAAGTTAACACTTTATCATTTAGAATACTTGTTTGCTCACAAGCCTTCCCAAGTTCTTAACCAACTACATATGGTGAATCCTAAGTTGCCTTAAATGTTCTCATACTGCTTACAATCTTAATAGAATTGTATTGCACCTTTTAACTTAAATGACAAATCTATACCAAGCATGTCAAACTCGTGGCAGGCTGCATGTGGCCCACAACAAATATTTTTGCGGCCCAGCCAATATAATGGTATGTAAAAAAAAATTTTAATAAACATTTCTTAACTTAATTTTTACAATATCCTGTTATACATAATTATTAATAACGAACTATGACTACAACTACAGTTCGCTAATGACTGATTACTATAATCGTGTTGCATTCATTTCCCTTACACGCCTTACGTGCATGTGCACCATTTCTCTCTACTAATACTAGTAGCAAATATTTTAGCAGCCGATTGCCACATCATTAGTCTTGGACTGACTTGTTTGGTGTGCGCAACAGGAAATATTTTGCTTTCGGAGAACAAGAAAAATAGGTTTACTTGTGTTATGCTTATTAATTTGTGCAGTTATTCGGTGTCTGATAGGTTAATATTCAAGAAAAAATATTAATTTTTATTAAAATGTTCTATTATTTTACATTAACGATTACTCATTTATTTCAGCCCTTTGTATTCAGCATGTCTCTATAGAAATAAACCTATATTTCTATGAAAATTGAAGCTTTTGTTTTTTTATGGCCCACATAAACTTAAACCTTGTTTATTAGGCCCGTGTTAGCCTTTGAGTTTGACATACTTGGTCTACTCAATTACATTTTTAAAACTAGAATCACAAGATCAGTCCATTGGATACTCAAATTTATTACATTCTCTTAAAATTGCAAGTTCTTAAAATACCAAACAGATACAGGTCACTTAAACTTAACTCCAAAATAGCAAAAGCCTGAGCTGAATTTGCTTCACATTCCTGTTTATATAAACTTTTCCAGGGTTAAAAGAAACTTACCTAATCAAGTTACAATTATGTTATTACCAGCAAGCTGGAGGTCCTGTCCTACAGCACTAAGGTTACTTACAGACCAGAAAGACCCTCATTAGGATGGCAAAAACACACACATAATAATGGTTTTCCAGGCCTTCTGAATTGTGGGTTATATTATTTTTGCAATAAAATGTTTAAAACTAAAGTGAAACCTAAATTATAGATCTGCCACAAGGGAGTTTCCAGATGGGAGATGAGCTTTTAAACTATTACAAAGCATTTGTTGCTTACTTAGCCTTGGCTTCAAGAATTGGCCAGGGAATTAATTTCTAAATGGTGTCATGTTCTGGAGGCATCAGTAATTGTGTTCAGGGCTTTGGCCTGGCCATTGTGCAGTTTCCTCAGGCACAGGCTGCACAGATGGAAGGACAGCTAATGACTAGAGAGAGGGACAGGCCTGTGGAGGATTAAAGAAAAAGCAAGAGTCAAAATCAGTCCATGAAGGGCACTTCATTAGCGCCTAAGTCTTACAGCGGTTCTCAACTTGTGGGTCTCGACCCCTTTGGCGGTCGAATGACCCTTTCACAGGGGTCACCTAAGACCATCCTGCATATCAGATATTTACATTACGATTCATAACAGTAGCAACATTACAGTTATGAAGTAGCAACGAAAATAATTTTATGGTTGGGTCACAACATGAGGAACTGTATTTAAAGTGCCAGAAGGTTGAGAACCACTGGAAGAGATCATCAGAACTCAGGGCTCTAAAGGGCAGATATCTAGCTCAAAAGAACTTAGGCAAAAGGGTAATTTTCTGAAAGAATACTGATTACTCGGGATGAAAAGCAGAACATCCTAACCACAGGATAAGACAACACAGCTGCGAGGCTGCAGGGAGGTCCCAGGGAATGAGGCCGCTCCCACGGAATCTGTGAGCTCCGAGCTGGGAGAGAGTGGTTCTGAGGAAGGGTGTGGGCTGTTCAGAAGGATAGTCATGGTTCAGAAGAGCAGCTTGTCCCCTGGGCTTCATCAAGGCAGAACTGGTGCATTCTACCAGAAGGGTCAGGAATCAGGAGACCTGGATCTAGGCCAGTGATGGCGAACCTATGACACGCGTGTCAGAGGTGACACGCGAACTCATTTTTTTGGTTGATTTTTCTTTGTTAAATGGCATTTAAATATATAAAATAAATATCGAAAATATAAGTGTTTTACTATGGCTGCAAATATCAAAAAATTTCTATATGTGACACGGCACCAGAGTTAAGTTAGGGTTTTTCAAAATGCTGACACGCCGAGCTCAAAAGGTTCGCCATCACTGCTCTAGTGCCTACTCCTATCACCAACACACTTGCTCACCTTGGGCAAGCCCCTTCCCTTCTCTGGGCCTCAGTAATATCTACTTCAAAGTGACTCAGAGCCCTTGAAGGGGACGTGCCAGGCCTGACATTACAGTTCTCTGAATAAGAGACAGAAAGGCAGATTGGGAAGCAAAGGAGAGGAAATAAGGGCACTGGGAAGACTGACAAGAGACAAACACCCTAAGCAAATAGGGATTTAAACAGAAAAACACCGCCTCCAGGGAAAGTGCTTAGTCAGACACGAAATAAGAGGGAGAGGCTGGTGGCCCAAGTTGCACTGGAGGGTCTGGTCACCCCACAGGGAGAGAGCCTGGCCATTCTTGTTGGCAGACCCTCTGAAGTGCCTCAGGCCAGGTCCCCCACCCATTTTATTTCTCCCTGAATCCAACTTCTGGCATCTGTGATACTATTCAAAAGCAGAGTGACTGTGCATAATCCTTTTTATGGAATGTTTCCTCTCAAGACATGTGCTCTGAGCCCGCCGGGTACTGAGCAGATAAATGAACATTTACTGGATGGATGAAGGATGGATGTTTGGAGGACTGTGCTCCTCAAAGCTTAGAGCTGTGACATTCATTTTTTATCTTCAGCTCCAAGAGCCTGGTTCACTGTAGATGCTTAACTGTTAAATGAATGAGTCAGTCGATCACAAAGCTACCTTTGCTGCTGAATATGGATTCATATTTCTGTGTGACTTAGACTCCAAATACGTCCCGTCCCTCTTTGTGTCACTGGTTCTATCAATTCTCAGTAAACATTTGTTTAAAATCAGGTCTTCTCTATTTCCTGTTCTGTGACTCAGTGTTTGATACACAGAAAGAAAAGGAAGAATAGATGTTTATTTAAGAAGTGCATGCTTCGCCCGGCCGGCCGGCATGGCTCAGTGGTTGAGCGTCCACCTATGAACCAGGAGGTCAGGGTTTAATTTCTAGTCAGGGCACATGCCCGGGTTGTGGGCTCAATCCCCAATAGGGGGCATGCAGAAGGCAGCCGATCCATGATTCTCTATTATCATTGATGTTTATATCTTTCCTTTTCTCTCTAAAATCAATAAAAATATATTTTAAAAAAGAAGTGCATGCCTCTGCGAGCTAATGACCTGTCAGGTTCACCTTCAATGAGGGATGCTCTAAGTGTGAGTGTGTGGCATGCTGCCCACCTGTATCAGAGAGGGAAGTTGCTAGAAGAAACAACTGGCAGATTTCAGTGGCTTTGCATAGAAGTGTATCGTGCTCACAGCAGTGTCGGTGTTGGTGGATGGGGTGCGGTGGAGACTCTGCATTTACAGACTTAGGCACGTATCTTCTTGCCGGTCCTGGTATCTTCTATTGGATCCTCTGCCGACAGTCAGATTCAGTCCTGAGCTCCAGTGCTGGGGCAGCAGCTTGAAAGGCACCAGAGACAAATGGGGAGGAACTGAATTGTCCAGCATCGGGCCAAGACCTGGGGGAGGCAAGTGGAGGGGTGGGGTAGGGAAGACAGGACAGCTTCCTCCCAAACATGCTGGCAGAGGCCATTGTTCCTTTTCTGAATCTGCTCCCACCCCCACCCCCACCCCCCTGAGCTGGCCAGCAGGCACCATATTTAAGACTGTACTAAACATCTGTTAAAATACAATTAAACAATTCTTCCTAAGTCCTGTATTAAATTTAAAAATGATCGTGGGAGTCACTAATTTTCAGATACCAATTCTTTATCAGTTAGGGATGTCTGTCCATAAGTAACAGAAACCTGAATCTACTTAAACAAGAAAGGGCTTCTTTCTGGTGTAGGAAGTCCGGAGGTAAGCAGTCCAGGGCTGGTGCAGTGAATCTGTAGTGCTCTGTTCCACCAACCATGGTACGTGGCCTTCTTGCCCACAGTCTGAGCACTGCTGCATCTCCAGGCATCAGGCCACATCACTCAAGGTTGAACTGGGGCAAAGAAGCAGCACTAGGTCATCTTTCCCTTTTACCAGGAAAGTAAAAGCTTTCCCTGAAAGACCTCACATATTTCTACTTCCATCTCATTACACAGAATTGTAACTTGGGTGCTGGGAAGCAGAAAATGTGCTTCCTAGGGGCAGGTGGGGAAAAAGAAGTGGGCCATGTCATGTTACCCCAGTGATCCTGTACAGAGAGGGTGGTTTTAAAGACTTCAGTCCTCTTCAAAATGACCAAATGTTGCCTGGCTGGTGTGGCTCAGTGTTTGAGCATCGACTTATGAACCAGGAGATCACGATTGGATTCCCGGTCGGGGCATATGCACAGGTTGCGAGCTCAATCTCCAGTGTGGGGTGTGCAGAAGGCAGCTGATCAATGATTCTCTCTCATCATTGATGTTTCTGTCTCTCTCTCCCTCTTCCTTCCTCTCTGAAATCAATAAAAATATGTTTAAAAAAAAACCCACAACAAAACAAAAAAACGATCAAACGTTGGTTGGGAGAAGCATTCTTTCTTGTATATTTAAGGTTCTTCATATCCCAGTCCTTAAAACTTACTCAAAGTAAATGTTTTAGACAAACACCAATCTTGGACTAAGGATTTTAAAGCATTTTACTAAAATGAACTGTTTCAGATTCCCAAGGTGAATCCGAAGTTCAGAGTCGACATCCTGTCTTATAGGTAAGTCTGATGTCACAGCTTTGCCATCAGACTGAGGATGCTCAGTGGCCCGTCTATGGCTGGCTGGATTAACTGAAAACTGATGAGGACTTAGAACCAAAAGTTTTGTCCACCCTTGGCTGGGTAGGATGAGTCGACTTTCCTTTCAAGGAAAATTGTATGAGTCAGTCAAATACCTGAAGTTTTGGTGTGGATGAAAGTGGCTTTAGTAAAGGGCTCCCACTTTGAAATTTTTTGTTTTAACATGGCTCTAAGAGCCAGAAAAAGAGAAACATATATATATATTCTATAAGCTCTGAATATGTTTATCAGGCCAATTATACCTGCATCTGCTTACTAACATTATCATTGACATATTTTAGAACCATATTTGTGTCCATATTTTCAACATGATATATATTTTTACTTAACTCATAGTGCCATGAGTTTTATAAGCATTTTTAAAAAATATTTTTTATTGATTTTGAAAAGAGAGGGGAAGAAAGAGGGAGACAGAAAAATCAATGAGAAAGATCAATGAGAGAGAAACATCAATTGGCTGCCTCCTGCATGCCCCACACTGGGAATCGAGCCTGCAACCCAGGCATGTACCCTAACCGGGAATCAAACCAGCGATCTCTTGGTGCATGGGTCAACGCTCAACCATTAAGCCACATCGGCTAGGCAGAATGGTAAGCATTTAATCTATAATTCTTTAGTAGCTAACTGGTATAAAAATATGTAATTTCCCTGAATATTTTAAGCCTGATCCAGTCAACAAACAAATCACATAATTTGGCTTAAATTATTACTCTATTAAGATAAGCAGAGAGATGGCATCTTTTAACACTGGAAAAGGCAACTTATATCACTTCTCCCCTCTCTCCCAATATTTCCAAATTGACTTGTTTGAAAAAGAAGTTTAACATCTTAATCCCCTTAATCCCTGGGAAGATGAAATATTTCAACACACATAAGCTCACTAAGGGCCATCAAACAGCACAGTGGATGTGATGGCACCAACCAGTTGGCAATGTTACTTCTGTCTTTGGAAACAACTTCTGGGTCTACCCAAAGGTTTATCATTAGTTGGAGGGGACTAGCTGCTCATGAGGAAATGTGTGGGTGATCAGTGAGGAGGAAGGTTTATTTTTGTCAGAAAACATGCATTTGTCTAATCACCTGGAGGAAAAAGTGTTGCTATTATTCTTGCATAGCCGTTGTTATAAAAATAATAGTTGGTGAGATGTGGTAAAATGTGGAAATTATAAACCACCATTATTGCCGAGGTGAATGCATTCATGTTGTTGTTTTGTATGTGTGTGTGTGTGTGTGTGTGTGTGTGTGTGTGTGTGTGTGTGTTTTTAATTGTTTTATTGCTTAAAGTATTACAAAGGGTATTACATATGTCTCCTTTTTTTCCCTCGCACTTGACAATCCCCTGGCCTCCCCCTACCCCCCAGTGTCTTATGTCCATTGGTTATGCTTATATGCATGCATATAAGTCCTTCGGTTGATCTCTTACCCCCCACCCCACTTCTGCCCCACTACTCTCCCCGGCCTTCCCGCTGCAGTTTGACAATCTGTTTGAGGCAGCTCTGCCTCTGTATCTATTTTTGTTCATAAGTTTATAATGGTTGTATGTGTGTGTTTAGAGAGAGTGGAAGGGAGCTGGAGAGACAGAGAAACATCGATGTGAGATACATTGATTTGTTGCCTCTGAGCTTTCAACCAAGGTACATGCCCTTGACTAGAATTGAACCTGGGACCCTTCAGTCTGCAGGCTGATGCTCTATCCACTGAGCCAAACCAGTTAGAGCCATTCATGAGTTTTATAAGCAACTGCCCATATGAAGTCTCTAGAGAAACTGAGTCCTCATTAAAGTGAAAATTATTAGATTCTGTTTCCTCATGGAAAAGGATAAATTCTGTGGTTAAAGCATCGTTCCAATACACAAAGGTTACAGGTCTGATCTTTGATCAGGACACATACAAGCAGCAGCCAATGAATGCATAAATAAGTGGAACAACAAATTGATGTGTCTTTCTCTCTCTCTCCCTCCCCCCCTTCCTCTAAAAGAAAATTTTAAAAAATATATGTTTTTATTTATTTCAGGGAGAGGGAGAGAGATAGAAACATCAATGATGAGAGAGAATCATCAATTGACTGCCTCCTGCACACCCCCTACTGGGAATCACACCCGTAATCCCGGGGCATGTGCCCTGACTGGGGTGAACTTTGATCTCCTGATTCATGGGTTGATGCTCAATCACTGAGCCACACCGGCCGGGCTCTTTAAAATAAATTTTTTTTAAATTTTAATAAAAATAGGTGGACAGCTGTAAAAAATAAAATAAAATCTTACCTTTTATGACAGCATAGATGGAGTTGGAGAGAATTATTCTAAGAGAAATAAACCAGTAAGAGAAAAACAAGTCCCATATGATTTCACTTATATGTGGAAACTAATGAACACAATAAAATAACAAAATAGAAACAGACTCATAGATACAGCGAACAGACTGGCAACTGATAGAGGGGAAGGGTTTGAGGGACTTGGTAAAAAGGTGAAGGGATTAAGCAAAACAACAACAACAACAACAACACACCTCACAGACACAGACAACAGTATGGTGATTATCAGAGGGAAAGAGGAGTCGGGGGAGAGAAGAGGGTAAAGGGCCGACAAATGGTGACAGAAGGAGACTTGACTCGGAGTGGTGAACACACAATACAGAGTACAGATGATGTATTATAGAATTGTACACCTGAAACATAATTTTATTAATCAGTGTCACCCCAATAAATTCAATAAATAAAAAAATACAAAAGAATAGGTGGGCAGAGAAATAAGCACAGTGAGGCAGAGACCTGATTAAAAGTGAAGATGATTCAAAGTGAGGTGACTGGGAATTAAGAAAAATTCTCCTCTTCCATCCTTGTCCCTGTCTCCTTAGGACTTTTTACAGAGCTAGAGGTTTTACTTTTAGTAAATATAATGTCTTCATCAAAAACAGTCTTCCCTTTTGTTTACTCTGATAATCTCAACTTATTTGATTGTTGCAGAAACCCTACCTCTTTCCATACTTTGGAGTGCTTAATAAATACCTCCTAGGAAGGGCATGAGAGAATGCATTTGGAAGAGTAGCACAGAGAAGGCTGTGACACCCAGATGCAGGGAGCTGAGAGGCACTGATTCCTATGAACTAGGGGAATCTTAGAGCAGGATAGGGAATGCTGGAATTTAGACATACAGTTATGCTTGCAAAATTGTAGACATTAAGCATCATAACTTCCCTTGAGCTTCTAAAGTCATGCAGCAGCTCTGAATTTCACTTAAAAAAAAAGTCAGTTCAGGAGTTCTTCAGCCATCTCTCTTTTTAAAAAAATTAGGAATTATACTTTTTAATTAACAGACTATTTTTAGAGCAGTTTTAGGTTTACAGAAATATTAACCAGACTGTACAGAGTTCCCATATACCCCTTCTCCCTCTCTTGCACATTTCCCTATTATTAACATCTTGCATTGGTCTGGCATGTTTACTACAATTGATGGACAATACTGATACATATTAACTAAAGTCCATAGTTTACATTAGGGCTCACTTTGTGTTTTACATTCTAAGATTTTAACAAATGCATGACATGTATCCATCATTATAATACTAGAGGCCCAGCACACGAAATCACATAAGAACCAGACCAGCCGCGTTGCCGTGGGACCCCAGACCTGCCACACTGTGAGATCCATCAATGCACCTCCAGGTGACCGGTCGTTTGGTTGTTACTGTGTTACGGCCACTGGCTTTTTATAATATAGATCATACAGTATATTTTCACTGCCCTAATGCTCCATCTATTCATTCTT